ACTCGGACCAACGATGCTTCCAGTATTTTTGAAGGTGTTGAAAGAATACAGGACAGTAATCCAAGAAAGCAAAGGAAAACCACTGGTACACGTAGAGGTAGGTTCGCCAGGACAGGTCCTGGCCCGGGTCTTCTCCATGCAGTGACCCGGCAACACTGCGGGAGACCGAGTTGTTTACTTTGCGATTTCATTGTTTTGACCATCAGTATTTCCAGGAATCAGCCCAAAAAAAAAAAACTGTGTTTATGGGAAACATGACAAACCATTATTGTCAAGGAAAGACAATGAGATGTGGAGATTCGATGTTTTGGGGAGTTTGTCAACGAGGATTAACAAGGGGAACATAATTACACAATGATAACAATGAGTAATAATGTATATATCTACTGTGAAAATGCTGATTGACTCTTGCTAATGTCCTTGGATTATTCTGATCTTATCTGGGGATTTAGAACCATCAGTGCATGCAACAATAACATGAAACTGTGACTTAAGGCACCCATCTAATTGTGATTGTAGGGGTCGAGTCTCAGCTGATCGCTACTAGGTTCACTCCTGCTGTGCGTGTCCTATCTTACTGTTGGACTAAACACTCCACCTTGTACGTGCCTTGAAAATGATTACCTTAGTAGCTAATGTGATGTGTAGCAGAGCGAGGTAGAGGCAAAGGCACGACTGACTGCAGGAGGTTTATTTGCTAAGCGGTAACACCAGGCACATTATTATTTTATTATAATCAAGGGGGAAGCGCTAAACCCGTAGGATTATACAGCGCATGTGGGGGGATGGAAGGTATTCAGGTTCAATTCAGGGAACCGGAGCACAGATCCAATTCCCTAGATCAAGAGCCCCTCACCTACGTCAAGGAACCTCCCTTGAGGGGAACACCAGGCACAACGTGTAGAGGAAGCCAGAGCCAGATCTAGGAGAGGCAGCTGTTTATCGGAGTGAAGGTCAGCCGAGGAAAGAGGCCTGACCAAACTCAAGTGCACAGGAATCGAGGCTTGGCAGGAGATACAAAATTTCTGCAAGGAGCATGCTACTTGCCAGCTTGTCTACATCCATTTCTAATCTTCCTTGGTCTGTTCCTGTTTGTGTTCACTTCATTGATTTCATATCTGCGAAAAGGTACACCTCTGATTCGATTTACTCTGAAATGTCGTTTATATATACACGACAAAAATCACACTCGCCCTTTATATCATCTCTTCCCAGACATTACCTCACTCCTTCCTTCCCGTTAAGTATTTCTTGATGCATTTTAGTGTTTTTTTATAACTCCTATCAATTCGTCTAGCTTTTCTGTGTAGAGTTCTTTCTTGCAGTCAAAAATCATACAATCCACCCATCTCTTTCTCTCTCTCTCTCTCTCTCTCTCTCTCTCTCTCTCTCTCTCTCTCTCTCTCTCTCTCTCTCTCTCTCTCTCTCTCTCTCTCTCTCTCTCTCTCTCTCTCTCTTTTTACTCAGGGTTTGACAAGGTTAAGGATCCCTAGCTTTATTGACAAGCTATTTACAGGTTAAAGGATTCCTAACTTTATTGACAAGCTAAGAGCTGTTACCTACATCAGCTCATTTGAAAGCATTTTTATTGTTATGAGACATACAAGTAGGGAACAGGATGAAGTTGGAGCCATCAGTGGACCAGCATTTTCATTTGATCAACTAACTTTATCTCGTTGACATCATAATGCTGTACAAATGTGTTCCATACTCAAGTCATCCTGGGGATAAATGATATCAGATGAAGTGATGTTATGGAGAAGGGTACAGCCAGAGTGAAGTTGTTGCGTTCTGCCCGTCTTGTGGTACAGAAGCTTGTTTCACGCTGTCCTCGAAGTGGATCCAAGTGTGGTACTTTGAAAATATTGGCCTTGTACATAACAGCAAGGCCACCCACATCCCTCCTGTATTGAAGGCTCTGCTGAAATGACAGATCTATCCAGGATTGGTCCAGGCGAGAGATGAGACGTCTTGCTCTGTTGTTCACTCTGTCAAGCATTCGCAAATGAGAGGAGGGGGCAGGCAAACCAGGAAAGTGGAGCATACTCAAGGTGTGAGCGTACTTGTGCCTCGTACAGAATCTTGCAACCCCTACTGCCAAGCAGATGTGAGATAAGGTAAAATGCTGTAAGCTTCCTGGCTGCCTTGTTTGCAAGATTTACAGCGTCGTTCTTCGTGGTCAGCTTGGAGTCAAATTTCACCCTAAGGATATCAACTTCTTCTTCTTCTTCTTCTCTCTCTCTCTCTCTCTCTCTCTCTCTCTCTCTCCTCTCTCTCTCTCTCTCTCTCTCTCTCTCTCTCTCTCTCTCTCTCTGCAAGAATTTACATCACAAAAACTATGCTGGAAGTTGCATATATATCCGACGCTTTCCAGGTGCTCCACTCTTCTTCTGATAATCTTCATGGCGTTACATATTATTCTTGTTAGTGACGCTGGTCTGTAATTCAATGACACCTGTCTCCTCCTCATTAAAATTGGGACAACATTCACTGTTTTCCAGACTTCTGGCAGCTGCCCTGTCTCAAATGACTTGTTGAGGATCGCTGCTAGTGGTTCGCGCAGTTCCTCTGCTTCCTTTCACAGAACTTACGGAGAGATGTTTCTGGTCCTGTTGTCTAGCTTCCTAGGTAGTTCCCTCACCTTTCCTTCTGGCGTGTACATTGTGTCCAGTGTTCGTTGGTGGACTCACTTTGGCTTTTTGATAATGTTCCTGATTCCACTAGGAATACCTCCTTATATATTTCGTTCAGCTCCTCACAGAGTTACTGGTAATTCCAAATGAGCTCCTTCCTTCGTCAGCCTCATTACCTGACGTCAATGATATACAATATAGACAGCCCCCTGGTTATGCAGAACATTTCGGGGAATTTAGGCTAATTTTGTCCCCATTATGCGACCTACACCAGTCGACTAACATCCATGTTTCTACTTGCTGCTAAGTGAACAGGGACAGTAGGTGTCTTAAAGAAACACGCCCTAATGTTTGAACGCGTACCGGGGATCGAACCACGGACCTCAGTGTCTGAACTGAGTGTGCTACCATCCGAGCTACCGAGTTCTTCGCAAATCACTGAATGCAGCACGAATAAACCAGTGACAGCTGGAGACATTGGCTACCCCACTTTTCGCGCTTAATTTGACACCATCTTTCTGCGCCCGCCACCATAGTGCCACGTCCAGTCAACAAATTTTATGATAGTGAGCTGTGGAAAAGGACAAACAATGTAGTCACATCAGAAGAGTCACACAGAAGGCTGGGAATTACAGTATTGTCATCACTCTATTAACACTTCAGAACAGTGTGCACTTTACTGTTATGCTTCAGTCAGATGATTTCCTTCACGAGACAAGTGAGTTACTTTTGAAGTCAGTTTAGTCATTTCAGTGGTTCAGTAGTGTCGCTTGTGGTTTACCTTTAAGCAATCGTGTGTCTACTGAGTCACTAGTAATTACTTGAGTCATTAATAAATCATTTAAATAGTTGAACTGAGTCACTAAAAGGTGTACTAAGTCAATAGTAGTTGAACTGAGTCACTGATAGCTGAACTGAGTCATTAGTAGTTGAACTGAATCACTAGTACTTGAACTGAGTCACAGAATGTTGAAATGAGTCACTAATAGTTGGAATGAGTCACTATTAGTTGAACTGAGTCACTAGTAGTTGGACTGAGTCACTAGTAGTTGAACCAAGTCGCTAGTAGCTGATGAGTCACTAGTAGTTGAAGTGAGTCACTGGTAGTGGAACTAAGTCACTTGTAGTTGAAATGAGTCATTGGTAATTGTACTGAGCCACTAGTAATTGAAATGAGTCACTATTAGTTGAACTGAGTCACTAGAAGTTGAAGTGAATCACTGGTAGTTGAACTGAGTCACTGGCAGTTGAAATGATTCATTAGTAGTTAACTGAGTCACTGGTAGTTGAACTGAGTCACTGGTAGTTGAACTGAGTCACTGGTAGTTGAACTGAGTCACTGGCAGTTGAACTGAGACACTGGCAGTTGAACTGAGTCACTGGTAGTTGAACTGAGTCACTGGTAGTTGAACTGAGGGACTGGTAATTGAACTGTGTCACTATTATTTGAATTGCGTCACTAGTAGTTGAAGTGAGTCACGAGCAGTTGAACTGAGTCACTGTTAGTTGAACTGAGTCACTGGTAGTTGAACTGAGTCACTGGAAGTTGAACTGAGTGGCTGATAGTTGAACCGAGTCCCTAGTAGTTGAACTGAGTGACTGGTAGTTGAATTGAGTCACTGGTGGCTCAACTGAGTCACTAGTAGTTGAACTGAGTCACTAGTAGTTGAATTGAGTCACTGGTGGTTGAATTGAGTCACTAGCAGTTGAACTGAGTTACTAGTAATTGAACTGAGTCACAGGTAGGTGTACTGAGTCACTAGTAGTTGGCCTGAGTCACTGGTAGTTTAATTGAGTCACTGATAGTTGAACTGAGTCACTAGCAGTTGAAATTAATCACTGGTAGTTGAATTTATTCACTATTAGTTGAACAGAGTCACTGGTAGTTGAACTGATTCACTAATAGTTGAAATGTGTCAATGGTAGTTGAACTGAGTCACTGATAGCTGAACAGAATTACGAGTAGTTGAAATGAGTCACTGGTAGATGAACTAAGTCATTGGTAGTTGAACTGATTCACTATAAGTTGAACAGAGTCTCTGGTAGTTGAACTGATTCGCTAGTAATTGAACTGAGTCATTAGTAGTTGAATTGAGTCACTGATAGTTGAACTGATTCATTAGTAATTGAGCTGAGTCACTGGTAGTGAAGTGAGTCACTAGCAGTTCAGTTGAGTCACCAGTAGTTGAACTGAGTCACTGGCAGTTGAAATGAGTCACTGGCAGTTGAACTGAGTCACTGGTAGTTAAACTGAGTCACTAATAATTCACCTGAGCTAATAGTAGTTCACCTGAGTCTTTAGTAAATGAACTGAGTCTCTGGTAACCCACCTAAGTCAGTAGTCAACTGAGTTATACTTATCTTCAGCAGGTCACCAGGAGCTCAGCTGCTGTGAAAACTTTCAACAAACCCGGTAAAAATCTGGTGAGTCACTAACAATGTTTGTTATGTTACAGTGAGACAGTTTAGAAAAAAAACAGTTTAGAATAAAACAGTTTAGAATAAGACAGTTAATTATGGTTTAATCAAGAGGAAGTGCAAAACTTGTAGGGGTCATAGTGCCCAGCGGAATTAAGTCAATTACATATATTCAAAGAAAAGATAAGTCCAATCCCTTGGATCAAGAGCCTCTTACCGGGCAGAGTAAGATAAAATAAAAATAAAACTTCTGCTATATCCATAACGTTTCTTCCAGTATAAGTTAGAAATGCCACTGAAAAACTTAAGTTCCGTTTCTTATTCCTCGGACATTTGGAAGTTTTATTTTTTGAAAACAAGTTTGAAGAAAAGGGCAGGATATATTTTGTTAACTACATAAGATGAAGCAGATTGTTGAGTGTGACCATCACTTTATTGTGATTGTTGAGTGTGACCATCACTTTATTGTGATTGTTGAGTGTGACCATCACTTTATTGTGGTTGAGTGTGACCATCACTTTATGTGATTGTTGAGTGTGACCATCACTTTATTGTGATTGTTGAGTGTGACCATCACTTTATTGTGATTGTTGAGTGTGACCATCACTTTATTGTGGTTGTTGAGTGTGACCATCACTTTATTGTGATTGTTGAGTGTGACCATCACTTTATTGTGATTGTTGAGTGTGTGTGACCACTTTAATGTGATTGTTGAGTGTGACCATCACTTTATTGTGATTGTTGAGTGTGACCATCACTTTATTGTGATTGTTGAGTGTGTGTGACCACTTTATTGTGATTGTTGAGTGTGACCATCACTTTATTGTGATTGTTGAGTGTGTGTGACCACTTTATTGTGATTTTGAGTGTGACCATCACTTTATTGTGATTGTTGAGTGTGGGGTGACCACTTTATTGTGATTGTTGAGTGTGACCATCACTTTATTGTGATTGTTGAGTGTGACCATCACTTTATTGTGATTGTTGAGTGTGACCATCACTTTATTGTGATTGTTGAGTGTGTGTGACCACTTTATTGTGATTGTTGAGTGTGACCATCACTTTATTGTGATTGTTGAGTGTGACCATCACTTTATTGTGATTGTTGATGTTTTGTGACCACTTTAATGTGATTGTTGAGTGTGACCATCACTTTATTGTGATTGTTGAGTGTGACCATCACTTTATTGTGGTTGTTGAGTGTGACCATCACTTTATTGTGGTTGTTGAGTGTGACCATCACTTTATTGTGATTGTTGAGTGTGTGTGACCACTTTATTGTGATTGTTGAGTGTGACCATCACTTTATTGTGATTGTTGAGTGTGACCATCACTTTATTGTGGTTGTTGAGTGTGACCATCACTTTATTGTGATTGTTGAGTGTGACCATCACTTTATTGTGATTGTTGAGTGTGTGTGACCACTTTATTGTGATTGTTGAGTGTGACCATCACTTTATTGTGATTGTTGAGTGTGACCATCACTTTATTGTGGTTGTTGAGTGTGACCATCACTTTATTGTGGTTGTTGAGTGTGACCATCACTTTAATGTGATAGTCACCCACATAGTGCTAAACCAGACCCATCCCCCAATCACAGCACTAATACCCACAGTGCTGGTGCTGGCCCAGGCCCAGCCACTGGCCCAGGCCCAGCCGCTGGCCCAGGCCCAGCCGCTGGCCCAGGCTCAGCCGCTGGCCCAGGCCCAGCCGCTGACCCAGGCCCGGCCGCTGGCCCAGGCTCAGCCCCCAGCCCCAGTGCTGACTCAGATCCAGCCCCCAGCCTTACTGCCAGCTCAGACTCTACTATGGACCCTACCATAACCACCACTAAAACCGTAAATATATAACCATCATTGCACAAGACCGTGGCCCACAGTTCAGATGTTGGAGAGGAGTCTCCTCCTTCTTCTTCTGCTGGGGAAAGTAGATGGAATCCAGGACGGGGTGGCCCTGACTTGGATACTGAGGATTATAGTGCAGTCCCAACAATTCTCAACCAAAGGTGAATTTGTGCAAATATTATGCTTTGGCATCTGTAAGCATGGCATATCAGGAAAAAAATGGGACATGCAACTTTGAGCATCCCAAAAAATGTAGCGACCTCCTGTCTAAAGGACTGTGTCGTTCTTCTTCCTGTACTTTCTTTCACCCAAAAATGTGTCACTCCTCGGTCCTCCAGAAGCAGTGTTACAACATCGACTGCCCTGCATACCATCTAAAAGGGACCAGGAGGCACAGACCCCACAAGACAAACAATAGCAGCTACAACCCAACTCCAGGTGATTTTTTAGTGGCAGGAAACGGAAAAAGAAAATGGAAGGAAATAACAAAAATAGTCCACTACCTTGGAGCCTTGTTGGACTGGAGGCGCAGCCAGTGGCCACCCATGGCCCTCCAGAATTACAACTACTGATGCCAATAACAAAATCTCCCCAACAAACACAGAATACAACCTCGTTCATATTTGCTAATATACAGGGCCTTAAGCCATCCACCAACAACAAAATACCTTTTATCAGTGGACTTCTAGAGGAGTCTAATGCAATGTTTGCAGCCTTCACAGAGACTCACGCAAAAGATCACTTTCACAGTGAAATATGGATAAGTGGTTACAACCTTTTTAGATGCAACAGAAAGAACAGGCAACAAGGGGAGGGGGTTGGCCTGTATGTCAAAGAGTCCCTCATCTGCACGGAGTTGCTGAACACCACAAATGAGGTAGTTGAAGCTGTCAATAAAGATCGAGAACCAAAACCTGGTCATTGTGGTTGTATATAAGCCACCAGATGCAACCTCACAACAGTTCAAGGAACAGCTACTGAAAATTGATTACTGTTTGGAAAACCTTCCAGCTCCATCCCCAAACATCTTACTGCTTTGTGATTTCAACCTAAGGCATATAAAATGAAAGAATGTAGCAAATAATGTTATTGCTGAAACAATCCCCGGAGGTAGCGCAGATGAAATGTCACACACACATGAGCTACTAAGTCTCTGCGAAAAACACACCTTAAGCCAGCAGATAGTGGAGCCAACAAGACTAGAAAACACACTTGACCTTATCTTCACAAATAATGAGGACCTGATAAGAGACATAAGAATATCAAAAACAACAAATTCCGATCACAACCTAATCGAAGTCCAGACGTACATGCATAGGGGTCCTGATCAGCAGAATGCATGTACCTGTGAAGGTGTCTTCACAAAATACAACTTCAACAACAAGAACATCAACTGGGACCAGGTAAACCATGTCCTAAACGAAACATGTTGGGAAGATGTCTTAAATGACATGGATCCAAACCAGTGCCTTGAAAGGATCAACTTCCTGGTAGCCGAAGCATGTTCTAGGCATATTCCCCTAAGAAAGAAGAAGAGCGGGAGTAAACTGGAGAGAAAAAGACGCTCCCTCTACAGAAGACGAAGAAGAGTCACTGAGCTCCTCAGGAGTGCTAGAACATCTGATACACGAAAGGAGGCACTGACCAGGGAAGTGGAAACTATCGAACTTAAGCTAAATGGTTCTTACAGGAACCAGGAGAGGCAGGAGGAGCTTAAAGCTATTAGTGAAATTGAAAGAAATTCAAAATATTTCTTTTCATATGCCAAAAACAAGGCAAATACCACATCTAGTATCGGGCCTTTACTCAGACAGGATGGGACTTACACAGATGACAACAAGGAAATGAGTGAAATACTGAAATCCCAGTATGACTCTGTGTTTAGTGAACCACTAATCGGCCTCAGGATCGACGAACCAAATGATTTCTTTATGAATGAGCCTCAAAACTCCATAAATGTATGCCAGATTTCCGACATTACCCTAACTCCGATAGATTTCGAAAAAGCCATTGACAACATGCCCATGCACTCAGCCCCAGGCCCAGACTCGTGGAACTCTGTTTTCATTAAGAACTGCAAGAAACCCCTCTCGTGTGCCCTAAGTACACTATGGAGGAGGAGCTTGGACATGGGTGAAATTCCACAGTCACTTAAAACAACGGATATAGCCCCACTTCATAAAGGTGGCAGCAAAGCATTAGCTAAGAACTATAGACCAATAGCTCTGACGTCCCACATCATAAAAATCTTTGAAAGAGTGCTAAGAAGCAGGACTGCAAATCACCTGAATTCCCAAAATCTGCACAATCCAGGGCAACATGGGTTCAGGGCAGGTCGCTCCTGCCTCTCACAACTACTGGATCACTATGATATGGCCTTGGATGCACTGGAAGAAAATCAGAATGCAGATGTATTATACACAGACTTTGCAAAAGCATTTGACAAATGCGATCATGGTGTAATAGCCCATAAAATACGTGCTAAAGGAATAACTGGGAAAGTGGGGAGATGGATCTTCAACTTCCTAACAAATCGAACACAAAGAGTAGTGGTCAACAGAGTTAAATCGGAGGCTGCCATAGTGAAGAGCTCTGTTCCACAAGGCACAATACTCGCCCCCATCTTATTCCTTATCCTCATACCAGACATAGACAGAGATATACATCACAGCACCGTATCATCCTTTGCGGATGATACTAGGATCAGCATGAGGCTGTCATCTGCTGAGGACGCGGTTAACCTCAAAGAAGATATAAACAAAGTTTTCCAGTGGGCAACCGTAAAGAATAAGAGATTTCGTTCGGATTTTTAACCCCGGAGGGTTAGCCACCCAGGATAACCCAAGAAAGTCAGTGCGTCATCGAGGACTGTCTAACTTATTTCCATTGGGGTCCTTAATCTTGTCCCCCAGGATGCGACCCACACCAGTCGACTAACACCCAGGTACCTATTTGCTGCTAGGTGAACAGGACAACAGGTGTAAGGAAACGTGTCGAATGTTTCCACCCGCCGGGAATCGAACCTGGGCCCTCCGTGTGTGAAGCGGGAGCTTTAGCCACCAGGCCACCGGGCCTGGTGTTCAATGAGGACAAATTCCAACTACTCCGTTATAGAAAACTGGAGGAGATAATAACTAGAACAGAGTATACCACAGACTCTGG